CCCTAAGACAGAGGAGATCAATGTGTATGGCCCCTGTGCGAGAATTACACACTCTTTCTTTTCTTCTCTCTTGTGTGACACACATTAAAAGAGAAGTGGGGCAAAATTTTGAGATGAGGAAGGAGAAAAGAAAAGAAAGAGGCTAGTGTGTCATTGGCCAAAAGTCAGTACAGTGGATGTGGCTATTTTTAGACGCTGTTATTCACAGGCGTTGAGCCATCGCCGTGGCTCCTCTTTTTGCGCCGAATGACGTTTACTCCGTTGCCAGGGACGTGTGGAAGCTTGGGAAAAAAAAATGGCAGCTGTGATGGAAAAATGATGCCCGCCTTTACGATCTTAGGTACATCTTGTTCCGATCGCCCACATGAATTGCAATGATCTCGCCCACATGAATCGCAACGATCACGGTCGGAATGCTTACAGCGGCGGTGTCAGTTTTCCTTCATGGCTGTCCTATCCTAGATTGCGATCGGGCGGCTGGGGGTAGTCCTCCCTGTTTATGAGGGGAGTGCAAACTTTGGGAGGCCCCACACTGCAGTGGTGAGTGGTATCATGAGTACGAACCCCCTGCTCCTCCAGCTTTGGGCTGTATGCCAGCGGGCCACGCTTCCAATCTACCCTGCCTGGTGTGGAGCGGTTCGATTCATTCCGGCGCAGAAATTCAGGTTCGGCAATTTAGGGATGGTCGAACTCGCCTTTTAAGTAGCGAGTGAGGCGTTCACGATCCAATGGTTCATGCTGCCTGCATGGACTGTCGCGATCGATGGTCTCCCATGTCGATGAGCCTACGAGAACTGTTGCAAGCGTGATTGGATGCTTCGCAATATCGGCCAACAGTTACTCTTCCGAGGTCTCTGTCTAACATCGTGTCAGGCTGATGTGTGAACTATCCGCGGCCTGCTCCCTGTTTGGCGTGCAGTTCCTTTTTATTTGGAGGACCCACAGTGCAGTGGTGATTTACTTAAGGAGTTAGAGAGAAATCTATGTCGCTCCGCGATCCGATGGCTCACTGTGTGGCGGCGCCTCGGCGGCCTTAGTTCTTGTTTGTGGCAGTTCGGTAGATTGCGTCCAGGCTGCTAGAGAACTGCCTGTGGCCCCCTGCCTGGTTAGGAGTGCAAGTTTTTTCTTAGGGGCCCCACAGTGTGGCGACGAATTACTTGAGTGAGAAAAAGTGGATTGGTGGCGGATACATAGCTTGAAGATACAGTATAGTGAGAAAAAGTGGATTGGTGGCGGATATATAGCTTGAAGATAGAGTATAGTCTTGTCGAGGCTATGGTCGAGGGTTCAAATTCCTTTTTCCTTTCTTCAGCTTCCTTCGCTACATCTACGATCCCGCACTTCACTCTGTGGCAACCCCAGTTCTCGTCTCCGACAGTGTCGTAGCTTACATGCGGACCGCTGGAGAACTGCCTCGCGGTCTCTCCCTCATTTATGATCCCCAACTCTGGTGCCCCCACAGGAGTTTAGTTCAGTGGTGATTTAAGTAGTGAGTGAACATGATGGGGGGGGGGGATGTATTCTAGCCCCCCCTCTGGTGGTTTATTTAATGCAAAGTTGCGAACCGTTTTTTTTTTCAGTAGCCCCATGGTGCCGTGGAGTTTTATGGCGTGAGCACGATGGTGCTTTTCTCATCTGCGGCAGTCTCCTCGATTGCATCCGGATAGGTGGAGAGCTGTCTCCCCGCGGCTTCCTCCTCGTTTATGATTTCTAACGATGGTGGCCCCACAGGAGTTCAGTAGTGAGTGAACATGATGGGGGATTTATTCTCTTCTTTTTTTTTTTTTTAATTCTTTTTAATATTATCCTACGCTATATTCGTCTCTCAAATCTTTCATCATTGTTCAAATTATGGGGGATTTATTCTAGCCCTCCCTCTGCTGGTTTGTCAATGCGAAGTTGCAAATTATTTTTGCCAGCCCCACCGTGCCGTGGGGATATAAGGCGTTATAGTGCCTTTCCCGTCTGTGGCAGTGTCGTAGAGGGCCATCCGGACCGGTGAGAACTGTCCCGCGGTCTTCTCCTTCTTTATGATTCCTAAGTTGGGTTGGCCCCACAGGAGCTCAGTGGTGATCTAAGTAGTGAGTGAACATGATGGTGATCCAAATAGTGAGTCCACATGAGGGTGATCAAAGTAGTGCGTGCACATGATGAGGGGTTTATTCTAGCGCCCCCCCCCTGCTGGTTTGTTAATGCCAAGTTGCATGCTATTTTTGGTGGGCCCAAGGTGCCGTGGGGTTATAATGCATGAGCATGATGGTGCCTTTTCTCGTCTGCGGCAGTGTTGTATCATAGATTGCATGCGGACCGGCGGAGAACTGCCCCGCCACAGCCTGCCTTGTTTATGTTTCCTAACTTCCGTGGCCCCACAGCTAGTCCCCCTTCTGCTGGTTTCTTAGTGCAAACTATTTTTGGTGGCCCCTCGGTGCCGTGGAGATTTAAGCCGTGAACATGATGGTGCCTTTAGTCCCCCCCCCCCCGCCGCCGCACCACACCTCTTTCCCTTTTAAAGCATCTTAGCTGTAGATATCTATCTTGTGGAGGTGCCCCTTTGTGGGTGATCCCTTGTTTTATTTGTAGGCTGTGAATGCGGTGTCCTGTTAGAGAATGCAGGTTGTTATGGTTCTGCTCATTTAATTTTATTTTTCTTGCCCCCTGTTTGTTCTTGATTTGGACCACGTGTAGAGAATGCAGGTTATTATGGCCCTGCTCATTGAAATCCCCCCCCCCCCCCCCCGCCCCCTGTTTGTTCTTGATTTGGACCCTTGCCAATCTCGATCTCTATGTGTGTCATCCTTGCTTTCGCAGGGCCCTTGCCAATCTTCCTGGCATTGTTCCAAATTCGTACACGTCCCAACATGTGCACCATACTTCTCATGTGAACCTTGGCTGATGGGCTTTTTTTTTTTTTTTTTTTTTTTTCCCGGATTGTACCTTGATCGATGGGCTCTTTCATTGTATTATTAATTAATTTATTATTATGACATTAATTCATTGCATTATTAATTAATTTACTATTACGTCATTGTTACTTAATCTATTATTACATTGTTTTTCATTCAGTCACACCATCCTCTTCTTCTTCTTCTTCTTCTTCTTTTTTGTCGTCTTCTTCTTCTTCTTCTTCTTTGACATGTCTTCTTCTTCTTCTTCTTCTTCTTCAGCATTGTGATTATGTTTCTGATATGTGTGGGTTGGCTGTATGATGATGATGATTGTAATATGTGATTTATTGGTGCAGCTGCGTATCCGTTCGAGCCTCCGAAGATGCATTTTGTGACCAAAGTCTGGTAAGTTGAGGCTGTGCTCAGTGTGCTGTTTGTTGCTTGAGCTTACTTCTCTTCACTAACCTGTATGTCAGTTTGGTTCATGCCTCTTTTTTTTTTCCTTTTTTTTTTGTCTCCCGTCTTTTTTGGGGGGTAAATTAGTCAAGAAGACATGGTAATTTTGTATTAGATCTTTTTAAAAAAGTCTGAATCTACTTTTCTGTTTTATTTTCTGTTTTATTTTCTGTTTTATTTTCTGTTTTATTTTCTGTTTTATCTTGTTTTATTTTCTGTTTGACTGTGATTGGATCACAAAACCTTGTTCTTTCGAACCAGCTTCCAAATGTTTACGGCCGACCATCAACCACCTCCCAAGTCTTTCGACTCTCTTCCGAGTGCCCTTCGTTGGCCATATCATCCTGCTGTCTGACTTTTTCCCCTCTCCCCTCTCTCCCCTCTTCTCTCTCTCCCCTCTTGCTTTATGCATTTTCTTTTCTCTTTTTTTGACTTTGTTTTGACTTTGTTTGCAATTGTATCACTCTTTTTCTGACTGCGCATGTTTGGATCGTTATCTGACCATCTCTCTCTCTCTCTCTCTCTCTCTCTCTCTCTCTCTCTCTCTCTCTCTCTCTCTCGCTCTCGCTCTCTTTCTCTCGCTCTCTCTCCCTCTCTCTCTCTCTCTCTCTCTCTCCCTCCTTGTCCCTGTTTACAGAACACGTGAGTGGCATGCACAGTACGGCAAGGTCTGTGAAAATGTCTAAGGACTATTTAGAAGCTATTCGAAGCGTCCTTCTACTATAGGACTCTGTTTTTTTCTAGAGCGAATGAGAGCGAATTTTGCCATCCACGTATGGGGTCTCATATGCGTACAGATGCATGCAGCAAAGTCCCAACGGAGAGTATATGCCCTAAGTTGATGTTGCCTGGCCAGAAACTTTTTGTCTCGAGTCCTGACCTGGAGGGGAGATCTTTCCTGTTCCGGACAGGCATCATCCCAGCATTACCATGCATATATCATGTGACAATATATATATATATATTGTCACATCACTACAAACTAAAAGAGCGCACTTTGCGGAACAAAGAATAAAAGCAAAAAACGGGCACAGTGATAACATGCAAAAATAAAAAGAAAAAGAAAAAACAAGGGCAGATTGAAACCATTAAATTTCTCATTCTTCTTTGAACTCCACCTCCACTGTGCCTCTCACGTGCAAGGCTCGCCACGTTGATGAAGTTGAGCGCGAGCTGCCCCCATCCCCGTATGCCATAACAGCCCACTTGCACGCTGTGAGAGAGGCAGAGTGAAGGGGAAGGTGTTAAACACAGGGAAAAGCTCAAGAATGAGGCTGTCCTTGACGACAGAAAGGACACACATTGTAAGGATGGGGTGGATGAGAGCATGGAAGACCTAACTGAGCATTCTCAAAACAACAACTGCCACGACGGCTGGCATTAAGCATGCCAACCATACATTCCTGACAAATAGCATGTCTATTGCAGGCCAGAATAAAGGAAGAACGTCCCCCACAAAAGAGCATGCATTCAGCATAGCGTCCGTGGCCACAAAATGGACATATAGTGTCCGGATGAGGAGGGTGCCTGCAGTCAGGAACGGAGGGACAATCCTGTACACACATGGATGCAGAAACCATCTCGTGGTAGTGATTGTGACAAAGATGATGGCGAGTACACCCAAGTGCAACAGTGTCTGTGGCTGTGCAAAGGAGAAGGTCACACAGTGTCTGTACATTGTACTGCTGCACTACGGTGCCAGAGGAATGATCTTCGACATAAAGGAGGTTGCGGACAGTTTGATGTGGCAAGAGAACAGCATCATAGAGTAAGAAATCAGTAATATCAATCATGGCATGGACCATGACACCTGTCTCTTATACACATCTAGATGTGTATAAGAGACAGGGTAAAACCTCCTTCCCTGGTGTAATTACGATGCTCTGGCTGTAGGTCGGGGGGATCAGCGAGATATATATATGTATAGGGAGATCTTTCCTGTTCTGAACAGGGGGAGTTGTAAGGAAGAAGATTGAAAATGAATTAAGTTTTTCTTGTTTTCCTTGTTTTCTTTCGTTATTCGCTTCGGCGCTCTGATATCATGTGACAATATATATATATATATGCCTACGGTTTTACCGGGCAGTTCTGTTTGTGATGATATATATATATATATGACGAGTTTGATTATGTGACAATATATGATGAGTCGGTAAAACTCCGACGAAACAGTTTGTCACAGCCCCTCGTTTGTTGTCCTCTTCTCTCTCTCTGCCTACGGTTTTACCGGGCAGTTCTGTTTGTGACGATATATATATACCGGGCAGTTCTATTTGACGATATATAGGAAAGTCCAGCTGTAGTATGTATGCCCTAAGTTGTTTGTCTGGCCAGAACTTTTCGTCTCGAGGCCTAACCTGAAAAACGTTTTTTTGCCCCTCCCTATTCTTGACAGGCATCCTAACATTAGCAGTCAGAATGGAGCTATCTGCTTAGACATTCTCAAGGATCAATGGAGCCCAGCACTCACGTTGAAGACCGCCTTACTCTCGCTGCAGGCGTTGTTATCTTCGCCGGAACCCGATGACCCCCAAGATGCTGTCGTTGCCCGGCAGGTGGGCCTCTTCTTCTTTTTACCCCCCCCCCCCAACACCCCCCTCCTAACCCCTACACACACGTCTGTTAAGCGCATTTTGCCGGGATGGGAATCACCTATGGATAAGAAGAAGAAGAAGAAGAAGAAGAAGTCGGAAAGAACAATGAATCGCTGATTCGCTGTGTCGCTCTCTGAAACCACTTGCCCTGTCTTGTTGTTGTTGTTGTTGTTGTTGTTCTTCTTCTTCTTCTTCTTTTTCTTCTTGTCCATCGTCTTCCTTTTCTTCCTCTCTATTCTTGATTCAGTGTGACATATGTTCATGTAAATGATGTATTAAATCGCCAGTTGACGCGAGCCGAAGCTGACGCGAGCCGAAGTCGACAAGGCTATACCTTTAGAGGCTCGCGAGCCTGCAACTGCGCCTTTTCCAAGTGGCCTGCCGGTTTTGCTACCACCTCAGATGCGGATTGAAATGCTCTCGCCGCATAAACTGGCAAGAGCAGCACTGTACTTCGGGTGAACTGGCGGTTCAAAAACAAGGTGGAAGGTGAAAGTTCAGTGAAACATACAAATTGTATCGGCTGATGCGGTGGCTTGATCAGAGATTCCTTGACTTCAGTGATTAGTTTTTTTTTTTTTTTTTTTTTTTTTGTTTTTGTTGTTGTTGTTGTTCCCCGAAAGTCCAGATGGTAGAGGGTGGATGCAATAGCATCCTTTTTTTTTTTTTTTTTTTTTTTGGGTCAATACTACTCGATAGCATCTTATATGCTGCAGTGTACTTCGGGTGAACTGGCGGTTCAAAAACAAGGTGGAAGGTGAAAGTTCAGTGAAACATACAAATTGTATCGGCTGATGCGGTGGCTTGATCAGAGATTCCTTGACTTCAGTGATTAGTTTTTTTTTTTTTTTTTTTTTTTTGTTGTTGTTGTTGTTGTTGTTGTTCCCCGAAAGTCCAGATGGTAGAGGGTGGATGCAATCCTTCCTTTTTTTTTTTTTTTTTTTTTGGGTCAATACTACTCGATAGCATCTTATATGCTGCAGTGATTGTTATCTTTTTTTGTGAGAGAGGTAAGAGGGATGAGGTTTCCTCATGCCTCTGCCCATATGAACCTGCTACCTTCTTCTTCACCCGAGTACAACGTACGGTCATTATTGCTGTATTTAGACTGAAAGATAACCCATATACAGCTATAATGACCATACGTTGCATTCGGGTGACGAAGGTAGTTTAATCGAGAACAACTAAAATTATTAGAACGAGTGGAAGTGGTGGTGGGCATCGCCGAATGATGATTTGTGGCAGAGAATCTGGTCCGAATCCGATCTTCCGGGTTTGTCGGGAGATCCTTAAATCTTTGTTTCTCATCAATAGGCTAGCCATTCTCCTTCCCTAGTAGGGTCGCCTGTTTTTTTTTTTTCAAAAAAAAAAAAAAAAGAACAAAAAAGAAGGCTGCCCATACTACTACTTTCCCTTTCCTTAGGTATTTCCCATGAACGGCTCTCCTACCCACTTAAGGCGTTTGATCGCGCACTCACGTCATGTATCACACACAACAATTCCCTCCCAAGCCTTTTTTATTTTTTTTCATTCCTCCATTTTTTTTTCCATTCCCTCTATTTTTTTTATTTTTTATTTTTAAATGTAGGTTCTACCCAGTAAGGTGTTCGATCGCACTCACATCATGTAACACACCCACCATTCCCTCAAATACTTTTTTTTTTTTTTTTTTTTTTTTTCCCTCCGTTTTTTTTTTTCATTCCCTCTAATTCTTTTCTTTCTTTCCTTTTTTTTTTTTTTTTTTTTTTTAATATGGCCCGATGGACCACGAATCAGATACTAAACTGATCAGAACAGATACATTGCACGTGATGGTACTTAGCCAAAAAAATGCCGAGAAAGGACCCAAGAGCCTACTACCTATACCCACTGACCCAAGAGCCTACTACCTATAGCTCAGTGGGTACGCCCATGAACTATTGAAATATAGACCCGTGTTCAAATCCAGATGATGATGGAACGTGATGATGACTGAAACCAAAATAATTCTGACTTGCATGGGGCCGGTCAGCTCGATGATAATATCTCAAGGCCGTCCCTTGTAGCAGCTGTATTTGGGCTACCGGTCAGTCTACATGCAGGCTATAATGACCGTACGTTGTATTGGGGGGAGGAGGGCAGTTAATGCAGATGGATGGAATAAGTTTATCCAATCAGAGTCCTCTTCGTTATCGTAGTCGCGGTGCCTTAGAGAGATGGTCTCAGTTTGCTCTTTTATTTTCCATGCCTTTCTGTCCTTATCTCACATCTCCTTAAGGGCCGCGCCACACTGCTGTGCAGAAGAAAGAAAAAAAAAGAAAAAGTATGCGTGCGTCTTCCTCAGCACAGTTGGTACACCACCCCTGACCTGTTGAAATACACAGACCCAAGTTCAAATTCTGATGGACCTAGAAAGGCTAGAAGTATGCAATGAAAAAGAGAAAAGAAAAAAAAAAAGAAGTATGCAACGAAAAAGAAAAAAAGAAAAAAAAAAAAGTATGCAATGAAAAAGAAAAAAGGAAAAAGAAAAAAAGAAGTATGCAATGAAATAATTCTGAATCACCAAGGGGGAGGGTTGGTGCACTCGATGGTGATATCGAAAGGCCGTCGCCCTTTCAAAAAAGAAAAGAAAAGAAAAAAAAAGTCAAGTGGAAAGGTGCATTGGGTCCTATTACACGATTAAGTATCCATTGGGGTCATAATTTGCGAGTTTTCGATAGGTGCCTCATTTGATGCCCCTATCTGAACTGAAAGGTGCACCGAATAGAAGGCCTGGTAGTTATCGCCCTATCTGAACTGAAAGGTGCACCGAAATACAGCTGTAATAATGACCGGGCGTTCTATTCGGTGTGGGGTGGAGATGGTCGTGAGTGAATCCATAGCAAGGACCATTTCATCCCAGGTCGTGTAGGTGGTCTCCCTCCTCGGTGGGTAATCCACCATCCCAATTGCCTACTTGCCCAATTAACTGATGAATCTGGACGTCGTCAGAATTAAAATTTTCTCATTTTACCACCCTAGATTTCCGCCGCATTATCTCAGGTGACCTCAACCATTAAAGTCAGATCGTTTGGCGCAAACACGATGAACGGCATGGATTTGCTTCTTTTCTTGATATTCGAAGTTTAGAAGTAATAATCCTAGCGTGGGAGAGGTCTTTGTTGGTTCACAGCTTTTTGCCGCCAGAGCTTCTATAACACTTAGGAATGGATGCGAATGAACACGGATGGGCCCAGAGGATGTCCTGGCCTTATTGATCGCTGCGCTGTAGTGGAAGGTTCAAGCGCCAACAAGCCATCAACCTGAAGCCTGGTTGTTGACGCAGTCTGGTGTAGGAAGGAGGATGGAGGATGGTGGATGGTGGATACCCATGGTCTAAACCTCTTGGTGCCAATGTTGAGGGCATATTCACACTAGGTCTTCCTCACTGGATGTATGTGACCGCTCATCTGGCCCGGCGTGGATGCACCTGGCTGCAATTATGTAGAAGAGAGAAGTGGGAGAAAAGAGCAAGCAGGCTAGCTCAGTTGGTTAGGCACGAAGTGGAAAAAGAGAGCAAGCGGCCTAGCTCAGTTGGTTAGGCATGGAAGTGGCATTCAGGAGGTCGCGGGTTCAGTCCCCACTGAACCACCTGCGGCACTCTTGGTGCCAACCAACTGAGATAGTCGGTTTGCTCCCCCCGTTCGGTAATGGTAGGGTCTTTGGCCATCACGGATGTGCGAGTGAGTGTGCGGCGTGGGTTGTGCGAGGTGTGAGGGAGAGTGCTGGCCATAGACACTGCGGTTACTCGATGGGGCGGGGGAAGTACATGGGAGAGCTCAGAGAGGCACAGCTTCTGGCAAAATGTTCGGTCTCTGTGTTAGCTGCTAGCTCCCCCCCCCCCCCCCCCCCCCCCCCCCCCCCCCCCCCCCCCCCCCCCCCCCCCCCCCCCGATTAGGGCGGGGGGCCAACAAGCATCCCCCCTTTTAATTGTGAGATGGTAGCTATGCTCGCAGGTGTCCCCTGTATAGGCTTACGAGTAGTGGTAGGTAGGTGGTGAAAGGTGTAATTGCGAGAAGAATACACCCTAGTTTTGATTTTTTTTTTTTTTTAAATCCTAGTCAGTACGCACCCCGATTTTAATCGAAATAACTCTCCAGGAACAATTCCCAGTCCGCATGGGCGTAAGCTTTTTCAAATTTGATATAGATAATGACTGAGTTGACCGTGCCCTATCTGACCGCCCTCGGTACTATATATATTCTTTGTTTCGTGGATGTTTTGCTGGCTTGTGATGGGGTGTGAACCGACAGTCTGTAGAGTTTTCCATCTGGTGTGGGTGAGTGATAGTCTACTTTGATTTTGGTTAAGGTAGATTATCATTTACAGTGTAATCAGTGAGGGGATTCTGCAGACTGTTGAGGGTTCAGCCTCCTGTTGAGTCGGTGAAACTCCGACGAAACAGTTTGTCACAGCCCCTCGTTTGTTGTCCTCTTCTCTCTCTCTCTGCCTACGGTTTACCGGGCAGTTCTGTTTGTGATGATATATACGATATATATATTATTTAATAATTATAGCTTTCCACTCTTAGTATTCTATTTAACCAAAGGATGTTATCCTGGCTGGTCCACGCTTCGATGAATCCTTTTTTTTTGTTTTTTTTTTCGGGTTTAAACCACCAGTACACCCACACCTAAAATCCCGAAGCTACCTGCCCACTGTGCGCCGCTATTTTCGGTGTACACCCGCACCTAAAATCCCGAAGCTACCTGGCGCCACTGCGCGTCGATATTTTCGGAGCGATCCGCGTGAGGGTACCTGCAGTGGGAATTTCGGAAGTGGCACCGGGGCCGGCGGTCTACCTGAAGGAAAAAAAAAGAAAAAAGAAATGAAAAAACATGCCAGAGATCAATGATGTCGTGGAAGGACGTCGTGGAGGTCAATACTCGAATGATCGCTTTCCAGAATGCATCTGACCACTATTACGGCGAGAGGGAAACGTT